CAGTATATGACTCGGTCAAGGACTAGACTAGATGGTCTTCGCCTGATTCAACAGTGGTCTCATGGTTTCATGGGTGCAGTTGGTGTTCCATTTTAACGTTTTTGTGCTGATTTGTTTTCAGTTTGTTGGTTTGAAAACCAGCAAAGCAATGTGGGAGTTTCCGAAAATAAGGGGCACCTTATTCAGGGGTCCTTAAATTAAGGATCCTACTATTTAGGGTACTATATTCGGGTCCCCTATTTTTTGGAAACCCCCATGTCAAGCTTTGGAGAGATCCGAATCGACCGCAACCCCCACACTCACTTGGAGGTTCCTGGGTAGATAGAAGTGGAGTTATAAGTCCCCTAATATGGGTTATAAGTACAGTTACCCTACTTATAACTTATAACTACCCATGAATCTCCAAAGGCAGACTCACAGAGACACCACTTTGCCGAAGCCGTCTGCCTGGGCGTCTGAAGACAGTGCGCCTGCCTCCTCGATGACGACTACCTGAGCTGGGCAATGACCACGAAGTCGTAACGTGCAGAATGATAATGTAGGGGCCTTAATAGTTAGAATAGGGTTTTGGGGCCCATAATACAATACTCATAACAAGGAACCACACCAAAAAAAAGAAAAAAACTAGTGTAGGGAATTATTAAGGCCCCCACATTACTCTTGGCAACCCGGCACCCTAAGCAGGCTTTTTTGCGTGTCAAAAACAGCAGCATCTCTTATCCGGAACCTCTCAATGAAGACTTAGGGTTTAGGGTTTAGGAAGACTTTGGAAGCTGATTGTCGAAGCCGCTGCACAAAGAATGCTCTGTCCCTGCCCTGCGCGTCTTTTTGATTGAAGGCTGTTCATCAAAGCCAGCAGCCTCTTAAGCCCCCTAAACCCCTAAACCCTAAACCCCTAAACCCTAAAACCCCTAAACCCTAAACCCCAGAGGTCTCTTAAGCAAGTGGCGTGCCCTCCCAAGCCCTGGCCTTGAAGCCATGAGTGCCCAAGTTGGTGTGGGAGGCCACCTGGCGGCAGATCCCCTCTTCAGGGTTTCTTGGGAGTTTTTGGGCTCGAGTCTGGTATCGTAGGTTTTCTACGGCTTTGTTGTGGCAGCAGAAGGCTTTGCGAGCTTCATTTATGGACGTCAGAGGATTCTGCTGGCAACTCTTTCTGGGACTGTAGGGGGTGGAAAGACTTTGCTATGGAATCATGGGCGCTTTCAGGGTGAGGGTTACCGTCCAGGGGCGGGGTAGTTGCAGCGGTTTAGCACCACAAGTTACAGGGAACAAGGTCACCACTTTATTTGGAAGTAACTCTAAAACACCACACCGCTCCGCAAATGATGTATTCATTTACAAGCACCCACGAAACTGATGGACAGCTACGAGCCCACGAGAAAACCTTTATAACCGAAGGCCCAAAGCATCACCTGAAAATCTTTGCGGCCACCTGAATGCACTCGAAGAAAGATCAGAAGCATGAAATCCCTGAATAAGGCCGCAACATGAACTTGCAGATGACCCCGCCCCCCACCATCTAACTTTGGGGCCGTCATGTAGGATACTAAAGATTAGAATAGGGCTTGTGGGGCTTATACCAACGTCTAATCATCCAAAGAATTGCACGCCTCTTTGATCAACTGCATGACGACTGCTCGATCCTGTCAGGATACAAGCTGAGATTTGAGCGTCTCAATCTAAACCAGGCGTCTAAGACTAGGGGGTCCTCGCAGTAAGGGTCCTCTCATTGTTTTGCATCTTTCTGGGTAGTTCTGTAGATTCAGGTACCTTTCAATTTTTAAGGTCCCCCAAATAGCAGGGCACCCGTATAAACAACACCCTGACAGGGACCCGAATTTCGAGAATGACCTACATAGAAACCCTTATTCAAACCCTCTAAGGAGCCGTAAAAGGGGCCCTAATTTCTAGAGCTCCCCCATATTCGCAGATCGAAGCTTCGTGGTTCATGTAGGGTCCGGGTGCCGTTTCGCCTAAAGCAGTCCGTCCGGCTTTGTGGAGGTGGTCCAGGGGTGGAAAATAGGGGTCCTCAAAATTAGAAAAGGGTTTGTTGGGGTAAAGTATACTATATATATATATATATAGAGTTATTATAAGGAACCACCGAAAAAATAAAAAATCATAGCATAGGTAATTGTTTAGGCACCTTGTTTTAGCCGGCTCAAGGGCATAGCAGGATGGCTTCGAGGTCTCTCGGCCCTAAACCCTAAACCCTAAACCCTAAACCCCTAAACCCCTAAACCCCTAAACCCTAAACCCGGCGACCCCTACAGAGTGCTTGAAACCCCAAGCCCAAAGCTGTATGCAGGGGGGCTCTCAGTCCCTTTCGAGGTTTGGGGTTTAGGGTACGGTCTTCCATAAGGGTAGGGTTTAGGGTTTAGGGTTTAGGGGTTTAGGGGCTCTTGATTTGAAGGAAACTACAGGTGGTGAGTTTAGGGTATATAGGGCTTCTATAAGGCTTCCATAAGGTATATAGACCTTCTATAAGGCTCCTATAACGGTAACTACCCACCTGAAAATGTCCTAGATTGATTGCGAGCGACCGCCCGCTCTTTTCAGGTTCCTACTTGGAGGTTCCTGGGCAGTTACACGTGGAGTTATAGGTCCCCTTAGTCTGGGCAAAAATTCTACAGTTACCCTACTTATAACCTCACTAATAACTGCCCATGAAGCTCCAAGTATTCCCCAGACCCTGAAGTTTCGGGCCTAAGCCTAAACCCTAAACCCTAGACCCTAGACCCTATACCCTATCAAGTTTAGGGCCTCTCGGCGCTATTGACCCCTCTGCCCCCCCTGAGCTCCCAAAACCCTCAAGCCCAATACCCTGGCCCAAAAAAGTCTAAGCTTTTCTTTTAGTAGGGGTTTAATATACCAAAAAAATTTAAAGTTTACCTATTGGGCCCTAAACCCTAAACCCTAAACCCCAAAGCCCCCAAGAGAACGTGGGAAGGTCCTTGCGGCCAAGGTCGGCAGGCGTGACCTGCAGGTGGTAGTTGGACGTCACCACCTGCCATCTTTGAAGTTAGGGTCTAGGGTTTAGGGTTTAGGGTTTAGGGTTTAGGGTTTAGGGTTCAGGGTTTAGAGTTTCGGGTGAAGGGTAGGGTCTTCCTTAAGGGTAGGGTTTTAAGGCTTAGGGTTCACTCTAAAAGGCTGCCTCAAAGGTTGGAGCTCAAGTATTCTGAACACGGTTTGTTAATTTCACAGCTTGGCGGTTTTAGGCCCCTAAACCCCAAACCCTAAGGCCTGAAACCCCAAGCCCCTAAACCCCAAGCCTCTAAACTCTAAAGCCCTAAACAGCTACAGCACCCTTAAAGGAACCTAAAGCCCCAAGCCCCTCAAGTAAACCCCTTAGGGTTTGCTTCTACTCACTCCGGAGAGCCGAAGAAGCCTAAGCTCAAGGCAAGCTCCTAGCATCTGTAAGGGTTTAGGGGTTTAGGGTGTTAGGGCTAAGGGTGTAAGGTTTAGGGGTTTAGGACTTCAGGGGTTAAGGATTCAGGGTTCAGGGGTTAGGGTTTAGGGGTTTAGGAAGGGGTTTAGGGTTAAGAATCAGAAGCCAAGTAGGTTCCTGAAGAGCGCTGGGCTCTCGCTCTCTGGGCAGGTAGAAAATGAAGGCCATGGCAATTCGGGGCAGATCAGAATGCAGATCCATAGGATCTGCAAGTGGGACCCTAAACCCCCCTAAACCCTAAACCCTAAACCCTGATATTATATTCCAGGACACCAGGATCCCTAAACCCTAAACCCTAAAAGCCTTAAAAGCCCTAAACCCTACTAATATGGGAGTTTCCGAAAATAAGGGGTTGGGGTCCTTATAGTAAGGATCCCATTATTTAGGGTACTATATTAGGATCCCCTATTTTCGGAACCCCCCATATTTCAGGACCCCAGAATTGAGATGACCGGAATTACCTCCTCCGCGGAAGCTGCTAGGGGCCGGAATAGACGAGGGTTCTGCGAGGCTTTGCAAAGGTACATGGGGCCCCAATCACAATAACAATAATCAAAATAGTGAGATCAATAAAAATATCACAATAAAAATAAAACAACAAGAATAGCAATAGTAACACTAGGAAGAAGAATACGAGTCCGCGTACTACAGTCTTCAGCCTCTATGCTACAGCGGAAACGGAGGGCTCCTCGCCAAGATGAAAATAAGATGTGGCCAGCGGTCATCCCTCTGAAGGGCCGATTCCAATGACGAGCACCACTGTCAAACAAACTAGTATAGGAGGCCTTAGTCATCACAATAGGGTTTTGGGGCCTGTCATACTATCACTATGTTCTAGCTCTTTAGGCCCCTTTTTTTAGTGCTTGTGCTAGCCAGGCCCTCCCGGCTTCCAGCGCTTCGCAACAAAGCGCGGGATCGTGATGACAGCTGTGGTTGCCTACACATAGCGACGGCAAGAGTATGATAAGTCAAAGGGTACGGCACTGCCTCATCCTAGAGCCGTTTTAAGAGGCGGAATCTTGGGACAGCTCAGCTTTTGATCTCTTCCAACCTCGAGAACCCACCATTGCATGCTTAATGTAGGGGCCTTAATTAGAACAGGGTTTTGGGGCCCATTGTACTATAATTAGAATAATAAAACCTAAACCCTAAACCCTAATTAGAATAAGGAACCCGTAAAATAATATTGATACTTATTAAGGGCCCCTATATTAAGCGAGCTCTCGACCCGGAACTTTCAATCCTGAGCCATGGAAGCCCCAAAGCAACCTCGAGTGAAGCATGCGGAGGGCCATCTGGGGGTATCCGAAAATAGGGGACCCTAATATAGTACCCTAAATAGTAGGATCCTTCTTATAAGAACCCCAAAATAGGGTACCCTAATTTTCGGAAACTCCCATCTCGTGTCGAGGAGCCGATGTTTCAAAGTTCTGTTGGGGTGTCCTATGCTCCGAAACTGCCGAAACCCATGTCCAGCCAGGGTTTTTACTTTCCTGGGATCAGACAGAACTTCCGCGTCAGATGCTGCTCAGGTTTGCAATGCCATCCAGTACTAGGGCATGGGAAGCATCTCTTGGATGAGTCCCTCAGTGAGCCACGAGCAGCTACAAAGACAAAGCAGAGCAGCAAGACTACCAATGCCCAGCACGATGTTTGCTAAGCTAACGTCCGCGCCGACTGGCCAAGTGAGGCTGTCGCGAGGGCATATCACGGGATGCCACATGGTATCAACCCAAAGAATCCACGAGTTGAACAGCAGAATCGAGGTAGCTGCGTCGTGGCGAAACTCTGGCAGTAAGCTGGATCTGTGTGGATATCCAGTGAGTGGGTCTGTCGCGTTGATGGCGTCAATCAACTCGAGGCTTTTTCCATTAACCTGCAGTGGTCGGTCACGATCGGTGTAGGCCTCAATATCCGGGACCTTGGGTCTCTTCACCTGGGTTCTTGTTCAGGAGCTATATCTAAGCTACCATACTAGGGATCTACAGTACATAAAAAACGGTTTCCTTATTGTCCCTTAACAAGAACCCAGTCACCCAGCCATTGGATCCAAAGTATTTGTAGAAGACCATGATCTGCTTGGGGCTTCGGCGGTCTGGACGGACCGTTGTCAGGGGCAGCAGGAAGTCCTGCAGGGAAATGAACCTACACAGAGGACTAGGTTGCTCCTACTAAGGCCCTACTACAGGGGCCCTAATGTTCCGAATAGGGTTTGGAGATATACTGTAAATATAGACCCAATCAGCAACAAACGGAGCAACATCAGCAAAGGCACCCGATAGACTTTTTTGCTTGGGGTCCAAGGTTCAGGTGTCCTTCAAGCTTTCATGCTGGGGCGGTGGCAACAGGTACTCATCCAAGTCAATGAAAATCATCCAAAAGCAGGACAGTCCCAAACTCGCGATAGCATTTTGCTTGTAGGGCCCCGAAACGAAAAGCCTTTCATCTACGATTTCAGCCTGAACGAACGGCTGCAAGGCCGCATGCAGCAATGTTGTGTTAGAAGAAAGTACCACAAAATGATCCACACCCACAGCACTGTGCAAGTTGATCCATTGTTCGATATCGGCCTCCTCGCGCTCCACCACCCTGACAATAGCCACCAAAAAGAACTGCCTGCATTCCGTCTGGTTTGGCTTCGAAAATCCCATCACGCAGTGTCCCCTGGCATGGAAGCGGCTCAGCCGCTTCGGAATGCTGAGGTTGCGGATTTGAGCAAGCTTCGGGAGGAATCTCAGGGCAGTCGTGTCGCGATATCCTGTCTTGTCCCTTTGCCGGAACATCTTCTTTGACAATTCCTCCCGTGTCTCGTTTCGGCCTATGTCTATGCCGATCTCTCCCGCCTGAAAATTGCGGTCATATCCACTTCCAGTGAACTTGAACATGAAATCTTCATAGCTGCGCGAGCGGTAATGATAGATCAGTGGAAGCTGCGGCGAAAGCAGGAACTGCCAGAAAAAGACAATGTTGCATTCACTGGCTTGACAAAGCAATCCAAACCAGATCCCTGCAGACAGGCCGAGGAGGCCTGCGACCACCAAGCAACACAAGCTGCACTTGAACGAGTTGCTGGCCATGGATCGACGCAACAATCTTCCACCAGAGGAAGCATGCGACTGATCCAGGTGCACATGGGGTAGAAGACAACACCTGAAGAACCCCAAGTGGAGGCAACGGGTACCCTTCCCTTGACTGCTCATCCATGCTCTAGAGCTGCAAACAATCGACGGTCTTTATGCTAGAGACATACCTACGAGGCATAGCTATCTGTTTTCACGGATGTGACAATGCCTTTCAGAGGACTCACGCATGTTTGAGACTTTAAACTCTGCTGCGGTTCTATGTTGGTTCATGTGTACAGATAGATGGATACACATGCCATGTACACACACCGGGATATAGTTGCACAAGATGTATATGTAGGAAGGAATGTTGCATGTGTGCATGGTTGCAGGCATGCCCTCAGCATGAATGGGTTGTATGTATGGGCGTACGTATGTATGAATGAATGTATGTGCGTGTGTGTATATATCTATATATATATATATATATATATATATTATGTTTGTGTATGTATGCATGTATGTGCTTATGTGCGTATGTATGCGTGGTACAGGTTTTTGTTTGATCGCTTAGAACGTTTGCTTTTGTTTGTTTGTTTCGTTGGTTGCTTTCATACACCGTATATGTATATCAATCTGTCCACCTATCTTACCTACCCGCCTACCTAACTTCTGACCTACATACCTACCTATCTGCCTCTCTATCATGGTGTCCGTCTATTTAACTGTCTATCTGTCGGTCTCTGTCTACCAATCTACACTGACAACTCATCTATCCATTATCTATCCTTCTGGATTCCAACATTCAGACAGTGAAACGAAGGTTCATGCATATACCTATAAATACACATGCATATCATAGGCGTATAAGCATGTGCCACATGTGTGCATAATAAGTCGTAAGCTTTGCCGGGTACACACCCTTATTTCTACCTGTACAGTATATTCACGTATACCTCAAACCGCAAGCCCTAAATCCTGAAGCATATCTACACAACGACATGTATACACACATGTGCATACATGTATATGTATATACATACATATATATATATATAGATAGACATGTCTGTACAGCAGGCCGAGACGAACCCAGGCTCCGAATGATGAAGCACTGTATCTATGTGCATATGTACATACACTTGCAGACATGCACGTATGTATGGATGTGCACTTATGTTTGCGCATGTACGCATGTAGGCAGATATGTATGTACTTGTTCCTAATTCGCACTGTATACGTCCATGTGAAAACCTCTATTTTGCTTGTGCGCAAGACATACCAAAGGCCCGCCAACGGAAACATCTCATACACCGACAATACTTATATGCATTGAGAACTGCGCATTGGTATCCATCTCTATGTGATGTCTCTGTCTCGATGGATGTATTATCACGTAGTTTGTATATGCTTATGTACATGTGCCTGTGGATGTGCAAGCCTGGGTGCTACTGTGTTCTATACTGTGGCACTACGACGACTTACCATGGAAGCAGACAAGCGACATCATGGCACGACCCCTGTCAAACCAAGAGCATGTACACACAGAGTTTCCGGCTTGCCCCTTTTGCCTGGATGTCCACCGTGTTCGAGGGCGTGTTGGGGTTTGGAGCCACAGTTTTTGTCTCCACCTGCACTGAGTGGCACTGCATGCAGGTCTATCGGTATATAGCACCGTACCATAACCCGTTCTCCTTTCGCACATGGTCACATGGTACAAGCCTGAAAGGAGTAGGCGGCCGATGGATTTCTAGGGCAACGCTACACAAGAGCGCCAGGATACCAGGGTTCAGCAGTACGGGATAAGATGGCGGCTGTTTAGGATGCGAGGATTTCCCTTGCGAGAAGTGTCTAAAACGGCCTTCACCGTCTCTACACCTGGGCCGTAGAGGGCGTGGAGCAGGGCATGGACACCTCAGCAGTCTTCGGATTTATCTCTTCTGCCACAAAAGATGATTCGCAAAACGAGAGTGCTGGGCTTTGGGTTTGCAGTCTAGGATTAAGCTAACGGTGTTCTAATCACTGCAAGTATGCATGTGAAAGGGTGCATGCCAAATGGGTTGGGGGCCCCTTTTGCATTCGAGGTTTGGCATGCGTGACGGGTGCATGTGGCGTGCTGATTTTGCAGTTCATCAACTCTTTATAAAGCCTTACATTCATGCATGTCCAAGCATCTCTGTACAGTCATGCCTTTTGGTAAAGTAAAACCACAAGCCTTCACAAGAACCTGATGTTTGTAGTGCCACAAACGTTCACAAGAACCTGATTTGTGCGCTGCCACAGAACGTGCAGACTGAAATCGCTATACTAAAAAACGGTTGATGCCCAAATCCTGCATCACTTTGAACCTCCCCACGGTTTCACTGCTACCCTAATTTCAACATTGCACTGGCGTAGGGGCTAAACTCAAAAAGTCAGGTTGCCCTGTAATGGATAGGATATGTGGGATGTTGTACGTCATGCAGGATTTTGGGAGAAGTAATACTAGCAAGAGCACTAGCCGTAATGGTCACAGTGGGAGTCGAAGCAGTACTGGCAGTCGTCGTCCTCGTCACTAGCAGTAGTAGCAACAGCAGTAGAAGTAGTATTAGGAGTGGTAGTAGTAGTAGTCGTAGTAGTAGTAGTAGTAGTAGTAGTAATAGTAGTAGTAGTAGTAGTAGTAGTAGTAGTCGTGGTGGTGGTGGTAGTAGTAGTAGTAGTAGTTGTGGTAATGGAATAGTAGTAGTAATAGTAGTAGTAGTAGTAGTAGTAGTAGTAGTAGTAGGCGCCCCCCCCCCCTACCAACTACACTTGCTTAAAACCATCTTAAGAGCACATCCGTTTGACT